CTTTAGTTTAATGAGATCCCATTTGTCAATTTTGGCTTTTGTTGCCGGAATGATGTCATTTTAATCTTTACCTGCCTTCCACAGGAATGGAAAACAGCTCTCTTTTTTCTGAGTAAGAACAGGGCTTCTGAGATAATCTGACAACTTCATGAGCAGAAAATGGGAACAAGTCCCTTCAATGCACCAAGTAACATGCTGGGTACTTCATAAATATAATTTCACTTAATCTTCACAAAGCTTTATGAGCAGGGAAGTATTCTCCCCGGTTTTGTATGGGAAAAGAGGCTTAGTGAAGCATAACATTCCCAAGGCCACCAGTCGGGCACAGGAAGTGTGTGGTCCAGGCCTGGGATGCTCCCAAGACACTAGAGTGACTCCAAAGCAGCCAGACATAGCACGGGGACCTCAGCAGGGACAGCACTCTGCCTGGGCCCAGCATCTCTCCCGTAAAATGAGCTCTGCCTGCCTACCCTGGCACAGAATTCATTCTTTGTTTCCCTAGTGTTTAGAGGTCATCAGCCTTTTAGTACTTTTCTTTGTTTAGATAATGAATTATTGAGAAGATAAACGCTGGGCCGAGTAACTACCAGCTACCACTTACTGGCTGCTTATTATGTGCTGGTACCTTATATGGTATTTCATTTCATCCTCACAACCTTAATATCCTCATTCTATTAATGACAAAACCAAGCACAGAGAGGTGAAACAAATCCCACAAGTGAGAGAGCTCAGATTCAATCTCAGGACTATCTGCCCCTAGAACCAGGGATCCATGAAGCCATACTGCCCAGACCACAAAGATGGGGACATTGAAGGACTGGAATGACAGCACAAAAAGCAAAAGCACGAGAAAGGAACAGGTTTCACCACTACAGAAAACCTATTATGTAACAGGCACACTAAAATAAACAATAAACCTTTTGTGCCCTTGTGCAAAATGTAGAAGTTGTGCAACAAGACCTTGCAGCTCTATAAGAACTTGTTACTGCTGCTTGTGAGCATGTTTCTTAACAAAATGTAGGGAATCAGAAATGCATAGAGTATGGCATGAACTCTGAGAAACCAAGCCCAAACTCTGACCATAAGTGCACCAGGCAACGAAACTGAATGAAGCAGACGCAAAATGAGCCAGAGAAACTCCTGTGATCCTTGAATTAAGTCAGGCATTATAAAGCCTGTAGGCTTTATAAATTTATAAATTTACCAGCTCAGCTTAAGGTACACAGTATAGGACAATGAGGAGAAAGTCCTAGAAACATCCTGGAATAGAACATGTTAATCCATAATGCTCTGTGACCAGAAATCCCATGAAGACAAAGGATGGTGAGTATTTAAAGAAGGTTAAAAGGAGAGCCATGACATTAGAAAATAAGACTTATGAGGAAAAACTGATAATAAGTACAAAGAGGGAGGTATGACAAAATTGTTTCTAAGGCATAAACACACCAAATCCAGTGACAAAGTGGAGTGTGAATAAATTTGGAAAATAACAGACTGAGACTTCTCTGATGTTACACAAAGAGGATTCTCACAGGATGTTGCCCGTTAGAAGGAAGACCTTAGGACAACTGCAACGAATCCTATGAGTCTGTGAATATTTTAAGAACATAAGAAAACATCCCTGAGACACTGACAGCTATCAAAATGAATCTTTAAGCTGCAAGACTGATCTAATAAAGCAGATGTAAAACCTTCAACAGAACTGGAATCACTAACCTGTTGCATACATTTATCCTAAGTATTTGTGGGTCTACTTGCATATTGTTTGTCTACAAGTTCCATGACAGCAAAGATGACATCTGTTTTGTTATGACTGTAGTCCAAGAATCTAGCATGGCCCCTGAAGCATAATATTTGCTCAATAAATACTTCTCCATGAATGAAAGAACAATGTAATTCTGGACCCAGAGAAATGTTATTTTCTTCTTACTTAAATCACATGAATTTGGCATGGTATGTCTAAATTCAAGGATACCAAAAATATAAAGGCAAAGCTTTCTCCTCCTATCAGGTAAACCAATGTTCCCTGTTTCCATCACATTCTCCTAATCATTTCCCAGTATAAATCACGAATGTATACATACTCAGTCCCACCTATTAAATAGATGCATTGGACATGGTGTAACCATGTAATCCCAGCACTTCAGGAGGCTGAGGTGGGCAGACACTTGAGGCCAGGAGTTTAAGACCTAGTGAAACCCCGTCTCTAATTAGCTAATTAGCATGCCTGTGGTCCCAGCTACTCGGGAGGCTGAGGCATGAGAATCACTTGAACCCAGGAGGCGGAGGTTGCTATGAGGCGAGATCACGCCACTGCACTCCGGCCTGGGTGATGACAGAGTAAGACTCTGTCGACAGAAAGAAAGAAAAGAAAAGAGAGAAAGAGAAAGAAAGAAAAGAAGAAAAGAAGGAAAGAAGGAAAGAAAGAAAGACACTGAGGAAGACTGAGGCAAGGTCAAACATCTTCCACAGAGTTTTAAGACTCTGCAAACAGATGTACTGTCTCAAGAGTGATTATAAGTAAATCTACTGGTTTGCAAACTAAGCACGTATTAAATATTCGAAACCATACACAGATCACCACACTATGGGATTAAACAATGACCTTTTATGGCACAGTCTATCGGGTTTTCATTGAGATTAATAGAATAACTTTCCCACACTCACTTGTATCGTATCTATAAATTCTGGGGAGAGAGTTAAAACCTGCAAAGTTTTGACAAGGGGGTGAAAAAGTTCATGCCCATGGCCTAGCACCATCACTGAGAATGCCTATATTTTCTGAAATACATATTTGAATTGGCTTTTGGGAAAAATCAAGTTAAAAACATTAAATGACTTATTCTATACATACTAGCTTAATTTTGAAAAATGGACTCTTTAATAGGAAATTTTACTGCCTTTAAGTTTTAAGGATCTTTTGCTGGAATACTGAGTACCTTACTGCCAAATTACTGAAATGAACTCTAAGGCACTGAAAATTGCTATGAAATTTATACCCATATGAAATGAAAACATAAAATTGACAGATAGACAATTTCCTATATATCAACTAGACAAAATGCCTACTGTCCTAAGATTCAAGCTTAAAGTTCACATCTTAACAAACCAAACAAGACTTATAAAACCAGCCAGGTGTAGTGGCTCACGCCTGCAATCCCAGCACTTTGGGAGGCTGATGTGGGAGGATCCCTTGAGGCTAGGAGTTCGAGGCTGCAATGAGCTATGATCACACCACTGCACTCCAGCCTGGGCAATACAGCAAGATCCTGACTCAAAAAATAAATAAGTAAATATATAAACAACAACATATAAAACCAATTAGTGGAAATTTCTTACTTCTTAACCTGTGTTTCAATAAGTGCTATACATTTTTAATTATTTCATTTTAGTTTTTTACTATAAAATATTTTAATACAAGCATTAAAATTCTAGAATCATAACACTTACCTGTACGGCTTATCAGAGTTATGGATTCGCCTGTGGTTTCTGACACCAACATACGTTGTACTTGTATAATCACACACATCACATCTATACTGTTTCTGGACTGAAGACTTATTCCCTAGACAAGGTATTTCAGAGTTTTAGTAGTAGGCTTTGACAAGATTCAAATGACAGCATTTATATTCCATTGTAAATGAAAATTTATACCACACAGTTGTATTAGTATTTCAATCACGGCTTTCTCGCTGTTTTAACAAGTCTGAAGTGGTTTTATAGGTTTTCCTGCATATACACTATCAGCAGATATAAACTGAACATCATCTGACCTATAAACGCAGATAGGTTGGGATGATTTCTGCATAACCGTGTACAATATTCTAAATCATAATGAACTTGCTTCCGGCTGACTGTGTAGGAGCTACATTAATCAGAGACACCCTGGTGATCTGTATCACCAAATAGGTGTTACTCTAACCAATACTGGATATACTGTCTTAAAGAAACACTGACTTGCCAACAAGTTGTAATTTAATACTATACTCCAATATTATAAAGTGTAGCTATGAAGCATATATAACCAACTCAATATAAAAAGCCTGGCTGGCTGGGTGTGGTGGCTCATGCCCATAATCCTAGCAGTCTGGAAGGCCAACGTGGGAGGACCGCTTGAGGCCAGGAGTTGGAGACCAGCCTGGGCAACAGAGCAAGAGATCTCTCCCCCACTCTCCCCCTGCAAAAAAAAGCCTAAGGCCTTTTCAGCCAGTGCATTTTCTTTGTTTACCACTAAACGTTAGCTATCAATGCAACAAGAAAGGAAAAGCAGCCGTAAATTTTTAAGTGCTATGCAATGTATAATTCTTTCTAGTTAACTGACAGGTTACAGGGACAAAGGTTATGACTGACATGAATATGCAGCTCTCCGAAACGCAGGAAACATGGATCCAATGAAAAGAAGCCATGTTACTAAACTCACTCTGCAACAACAGGGCTGAGTAATTCAAGTTGGGGGTAAGCTTATGTCAACACGAGTTGAGTGACTTGATCATATAAAACGATTTCCTGAAGATATTCAACGCTTCATGTACTTGTCTGTCAGCATACAGTCCACAGGCTATTCACACTCTGCTTTATATTCAGAAACAAAACAAGCATGGAAGTTCATGAAAAAGGGAGAGCAGGAAGAACTGTGTGTCTCTTGGCAGGAAGAAAGCTTAGGTAGAACACCTGTATACACTGCATAAAAGTAAAATCCGTGGTATTATACAAAGGAAAACCCACACTGAAATTTCAACAAAGAAAATCCTTAAGTTAAATTTACAGCTTCTGAAATTGAAATTTTCTTTTGCTAATAACTACTGCCAGGCAGAACAAAATGTCCTAATTTCCTGGTATAAATCTATAACATTAATATACACACTAATCATAATTATAATCTAAGTATTGCTCTTAATTGGTAGGTTAAAAACTTGGACTTGATTGTAAATGGCACTGTTCCAAATACAGTTTTTAAAAAACCCTAAAAAATGAAGTGTGAAATATTGGATAATGGTTTTGTGTGAGAAATATTACAGATCAATGACAACTAATAAAACTGACAGATGGAAAAACTTAATATAGCACAAAATGAGAGCCTGTGATACTTCAAGCAACTGTTTCCAATGGAAAGAATATTGGATTTAAAGTTCAAAAACTTGGGCTTAGTCCTCGCTCTGCCACTTTCTACTAGTATGATCATGGGTAAATTATTTTGCCTCTTGAAGTCTCAGTTTTCTCATCTACAAATTGGAAATGCTAGAACCTCACAGCATAGTTTAGTAAGTCCTACATTTTTCCTTTAGCAAAGTCTGTATTTTACCTGCATGTCTGGGTAAAATCTCTGCCCTGTCACTAAATGTCTATTCTCTGAGGATAAGGGATCTGCTTGTTTTGTTTAGACTGAATCCCCAGGGCTTGGCAAATTATAGGCTTCCAATAAAAACCAATTTAATTAGGTTTCATGGAGTAACACCATACAAAAGAGCTTTGCTTGCGGCTCTATTTGAGCTCCTGTGGTATCTGCTGACATACTCATCAGCCTCGTTCTGTCTTCTTCACTGAGTTGGGTTCCTGAAGGGCAGTGATGCCTTTCACTGCACTCCCAGCACCTAGCACAGTATCTAGTCAAGACAAGGCAGGCCACACCTTTTGGCCAAGCAAATGTTAAGCTGAAACATGCCCTAAGGTATCTGTGCTGTCAGAATGGCAGAGACTGAGGATCACAGAGGCACACATCTCTCTTCTTGTTTAACAAGTTTACTAAATGGTTAAAGAAGTTTTAACAAAGCATGAATTATTATTACCTTATTTGTGAGCTAAAAATTTTCTCTTTGGCCTGACAACCGGATTTCAAAATATCTAATATTGAGTTAATAAAGTACCCATCCAGGTATAAATATGCAGCCATCTGAACTGCTACAGTACTGAGAGAAAAAAGCAAATGGAGGCAGGTGGAGGAAAAGAGGCATGGCAGGCAATTTAAAAATCCATACATGTAACCCTAAAAAAAAGGCATGAGCCACAAAGAAAAGATGCTGCAACATAAAATATAGTAAACATACATCAATACTGTAAAGTCTGAAGCGGTTATTTTAATTTTGAGCTGACGCTTTAATCTTTTTATTAAAATTGTGAATTTTAATCTGTTAACTCATTTGGACAGTTTGAAATGTTTGCTTTTTAGGACGGTGCTAAAAAAGACATCTTCCAACACTGATATTAACTGCAGGTGGTGCTACTGAGTAGTATTTACTTCATCCCTTCATTAGGGATTTATAGTCCAATCATATCAAACGTTTTAATGTCTCCTTTAAAGGAGATATGGAAACATAATGAATTAAAATAAAAGGAGGCATTGAGGGCTATTTTGTAAAAAGGAAACAAAACTGTTTTAGCTCAGCCATCTACTGCAGAAACAGATGCTATGCCATAAACTCCTTTTGTTTTGGAGAGTTTTACAGGGATGACATCTGTTTGACATGAGAATTTTGGTGCTACAGTGGTGTCAAAATCAGTTCTTTCAGAAGCATTCTAGAATCAGTTATGCTTTCTGGGGTATAATTTAATGAAACATTATGGTAAAACATTTCACTCTGTAGTCGTTTCTAACTTTAATTCTTAGTAAATCTAAAAAGGAAAGTCACCCCAATATGTTTTATCTCCCATAAACATTATGCGCCACACTGGAGACATTTAAAGTATATCAATTTAAGTGAGCTGAACCAAAGCGGCACAGCTTAGTACACTTTATACTCAATTCTCTGGATGTGGCATCCGCCTTTTCATGGAGCGCTAATTAAATCTTTTGATTCTAATATTCCTATTACCAGAAACTCGGTAGACTGCCACCTAACTAGTACATAAAAAGATCTTGTGTGTCTATGCGTGAGTTTTTTTTTTTTGTTTAAATAATGCAGATGAAATCTGGCAGTCATACTTGGGTAAGAATAAGATCACAGCGGGAAGCCCCAGTTAAAGTTTGGGGTGGGGGCCTACCATCTGCAAAAGCTCTGTTCTCAGCAGGTCAACTGGTGCGGAGAGAGGGAGGGGAGGCCTGTTTTCCACGTTGTAGCTTTTCTGGCTTTCTGGTACATCACCTCCTAAGGGGCGCTTAAGTTTCAACTGCAATATCTACCTACAAAGCTGAAGATGAATCTTTACTATCTAGGGCTTCTCACCTAGGACCTAGTAATCATCTGCTTCATTCAGTAGTTGGCATTTCCTCAGAAACAGAGATCAGATTCACTCACATCCATGGTACAAAAATGGAGAAGAATATAGGCTTTTGCCCTGAAAATAACCAATCATGACAACTAAGGGCACTTTTACGTCATGTGCGAGTCACTGCAGCCTATATAACAAAATACATAGATACCTTCCTGGACACATTTTCCATCAGCTGTATCACTGGAAATTCTTGGCTCATTAGAAGTTGCTATTGACAAGGTATCTGGAAGACTGTGCTGTTCTCTCTCATGATTCCTCAATTGACTCTAAAAAGTGGAAAGAAATATGTAATTTTCAATAAATATACATGTCCAACTCTTAGGAGGCTGTAGAAGAAAGGGTTCATTGCTTTCATGGCCTAGTACAACGAATTACCGTATTTTAAAATCAAGTCTGCTAAAAGATCATTTGACACATTTGACAATTTATAGAAAGAGGTACATTAGCAAATCATAACATCATGCAATGGACAGTTCCTCTTCATATTCTCTGAAAGGAAGTCACCACTTTCTTAAGTGATTACGCAGGGCGTGTCCGTATTTACTGAAACACTGGTAGGCCCAGAGGAACCAGCAGTGTTCAGAATAATGCAGCTTCACAAAAGTAAATCCAATCCGTAATCTCCAGACTCCTAATTTTTCATTTAAATATCTAAATGTGTAAGAGACCTAACTGGAAGTGCTCCTCCAAGGACATCCTGTCTCCTCTACTTCCATTCCCATGAATCAAGAGCTCAGCAGCAAAAGAAACTCCTGGAGACTTCTGGAACTTGTCTTTGCAGCCTATGTGGATGTCCTACTTGGAATTTCATGAGTGTAATCTGAGAAGCAGTGAACCTCAGACTCAAGGGCTTTTTTATTCCTGTTACCTTTTTGTTTGTTTGTCTGGTTGTTTAGAGACGGAGTTTCGCTCTGTTGCCCAGGCTGGAGTGCAGTGGCACGATCTCGGCTCACTGCAAGCTCCATCTCCCGGGCTCACGCCACTCTCTTGCCTCAGCCTCCCGAGGAGCTGGGACTACAGGTGCCCACCACCATGCCTGGCTAAGGTTTTGTATTTTTAGCAGAGACGGGGTTTCACAGTGTTAGCAAGGATGGTCTCGATCTCCTGACCTCGTGCTCCGCCCGCCTCGGCCTCCCTCCTGTTACCTTTTTATCACAGCTAGACCCCACGGTAATCTGAGGGAAAAAGTCTAACTTCTAGTTAGCCCTTAGGATAACACTTGTAATACATTTTCAAGGAGTCACCTGGTCCACTGAAGAAGAAAAGTTCTAAACCAATGATTCAACGAGTTACCTTTACAAAATAGCACTTCATACAGGATGTTAGTTTTGATAAGGTCAGCACTTAAGATAAAAATCAGACAGTCAAAATAACTTTGAAAGTTGTTTACCCTGCCCATAAAACATGACACACAGGGTTCTATTTCCATGACAGTGCCTTTCAATAGGTCCACTATAGCCCATTTTTCCTTCTGCAATGATACACATCACTGTTGGTTGTGCAGAAGCTGAACTGAATGCCTGTTATTTTGGGGCCATATAAGATGAAAAATACATATTTTTTTGTCGTGATGATGTACGGTTAAATTTAAGTCAAACGTATGTATGATGTCAATCCACTACACACTCCCTATAATTCTCTTGCAACAGAAAATCAACACTTTAAATAAACTATACACACTCAAACACAGAGGCTGTTAAGGAGGCAGCAGGCAGGGCAAAGGATTCTACAGCAGAAATTCTGAAGACCTAGATTTCAGTCTCAACTTTAATACTGATAAGTAGGGATCCCCCTGGGCAAATTATCCAACTTTTCTGGGACCCAGTTTCCTTATCTATAAAATGAGGTGGTTGGACTAGATCTACAAAGTTCCCTTCTCACTCTAAGATGCTAAGGTCCTCTGAAAGGCTTCCTGAACCAATGCTTACCTTATAATGGAAGGATTCTTCACACTGCTTGCACTGGTATATTCTTGTCTTACAGTGGTGGATCATGTGGCTCTCCAAATCTTTGCTGTTGTCTGCTATGTGCTCGCAGATAGGACACTGATAAGGCTGCCTCTGTCGATGGACTCGTAAGTGCTGCTTGATGTAGCCCTTGTTGCCACTTGTGTAATGACACAGGCGGCAACGGTAGGGTCGTTCAGCATTCGGGATGTATTCCACCACATTGTTTCCGGACAAACTTGTATCGCTGTTGGGTTGGCACTGGGCGTTGTCCTGCAACTCTTTCAAAATGTCATCGTCTGAAGCGTTTTGATCTGTCCTTTCTCTCAATTTTTCAATGACGGTGAGTAAGGACATGCTGATGCCTGTCTTAACTTGCCCATCTGACAATTCCTGCCTACCCTCTGGGAGTGCTACCAAGGTGGAGTTGCTTTGGTTAAGACTAGTTAATCCATCCGAAGAGTTTTTAAGTGGCGACATCATTTTTGAGTATGCTGCCAATGTACTATCTACTTGCCTTTGACTAGTATCTGGATCTAAAAGGTTTATATCTCCATAGTGCCCCAGGTTGGCTCTTGTCAACTCTGCAGCTCTTATAGGCATTGTGACAAGGGCTTCTGCAGCTAATGAGTGTAATCGAAGAGACTCAGAATTTGTCCTTCTCCGGCCTGGTGGGGCATTCTCATCAGTGGCCAGTCCTTTATTTATTAACTCATCTTTCTCCTCTGAACTGCTCCAGCCTATGATCAATCCCCCAATATCAACAGTACATTTATCAGCACGATAAACATCATCCGTTCCTTCGCACCTAATCTGGGCTTCTGTCGGGCTCAAGTCCTTCCCTTCCTCCATTTCAGTGTTCATGAGGAAGCGCTTCTGTGAAAGGGTTTCTTCAGCACTTGGCAATCGCTCTACTATCACGTTAACATGCCCTTTTTTATTGGGGCTGCTGCTGATGATTTTCTGTGCTGATGTAAGTAGGCTATCAGCAATCAGATTCTCCTCTGCATCAGAAATCACTTCCAGCATTTCTTCCTCATTGGGGTCCAGGGTAACTGACTGACTTAGGTGTACTCCTCTTTCTGCACTCTGTTCTAAAGGAGATGAAGATGATAACTGCTCTGAGCTGCAAATCTGCACTTGCACTGATGGCCCATTGTGGATACTCAGTTCACTGTCTCCAATAGCAATGACCACTGCATCAACCCCACCAGGCGCAGTGGCTGCTGAAGAATCCAGCAGGCCTAGGGGCTCATTTTCATTTTCAAAGATTGGATAAGAGCAATCAACCTCCCCAGCATGTTTCCAAGCGTGTGTTTTCAACATTCTCTGCTGGCCACACGTATAACTACAAAACAAGCATCGATACATGCCGTACTGTTCGTATGCATACCATTTTCTCTTACCCATTTCTGCCACAGATGCAGTTTGGACAGTATGAGTCTGTAGATTGTCCACACTTACTGGGATGTCTGGAATGGTTTCACTTCTTTCTGTGGTTTTCCGACATAAAGAGTTGGAGGGGCTTACGCACTGTTGGGCTTTGGATGGGGTGTGGCTATTGGCATCATTGTCATGGTCATTCACCACATGAGCTTCAAGTTCCTCCTGGCTTCTAGACGTAATATGGCACTCTGAGCACATTAATATCACTTCATTCTGCTGACCATGCTGCTTAATATGATCTTTTAACACGGAAAAAGATGATGATAGAAACTTACAAAGGCTACACTGATAAGACATAGCCTTCCCCTCATTCTGGGCAAGAGTGTCAGGGGTAAAATTTGTTTGTGACATCTCAGCTCTTCCAGTATCAGCAGCAGGTGACTGGGTTACTTTAGCCGGAATCTCACAAAGTTCTTGTGTTTCAAGAGAGTGTGTTGCAGCACTTGAACGTGGGCGTTTCTTCCCAATTAAAAGACATTTTTGTGACTTCTCATTTTCCACTATCTTGCTTAACTTCTGGATAACATGGATTAATGGATCTGGTTTAGTTTTTCTTTGTTCATCAATTTCCAATGAAGGACTGATGATACTTTCAGCAGTCAATAGAGCTTCCTGTTCCCCAACATCTGGCACCAACATGGCAACACTGCTACTTTCTTCCATATCTAAAAAGGATAATGTAAAACAAAAATTCCAGGTTACAGGATAATTACAGGCATGTAATTTAGGAAATACAAGCGAATTTTAGTGTCAAATCTAACCTAACTCTTTTCCACGCTGGAAGCGCCACGTCCACACACCTGGCGATCCCCAGTATAGATTTAAATTGGTTAGAATTTCTCTTTAGAACGCAATCAAGACTAATAATGAAGATACTCCCCTCTATCACTTATTTCTTTGGAAATGATGATATTTTTCTCCATTTTTCTTCACTTTCTTTGCCTTCAGCATCCAGCAGGACTAAAAGTACTCGCTCCCTTTTGCACAATGCCAAGAAAGAAAGAAAGAAAGAAAAAAAAAAGACTCCTACTCCTTGATTAAAGGAGCATAGCCATTCTCAAGGCATGTGAAACCCCTCCAGTTACTGTGAAATATCACTCTGTAAAGTCAATGACTGATACAATTCTTGAGAGACTATTTCTTATACTAAATACAGCTGCAGTTTTATTACTAAAATCACAGATTTGTTTATTTTCTCCCCAAATCTTTGGAATTGTGAAACTACAGTCATGTAGTTTGTACAGGGCATAGTGAATTTGGGAAAGTACTATATAAATGAAATTAAATAAAAGCAGTGATCTAGTTCCTACTTTTACTTCCTTCATCTTCCTAAAGATAAACCACAAACTATCCTGTGGTTTTTTTCTAGAGGTCATATTAGTGGTCAACTATTACTCATATCCACATATATAGGTTTTTTTTTTTTTTTTTTTTTTTTTTTTTTTTTTTTCCTGAAAGGGTAAGGGACATCAGAGAAGGAAGAAATTGATATCCCAGTTGTGTTTCAGGTCCAGATATGAACAGAGTTTCCTTAGAAGGGGTTATCTGTTCATTCTAATAATGCATTATGGCTGAGGAAGTCACTAAACATAAAATACCCATAAATCTTCCTGCCTAAGTCTAGAATACTCTTTATATTTCCTGGCAGTACTTTCATTTCAAACATTTCCTTTGGCTTAAAGTGAGATTAATTTGTTGACTTGGATCACATTTTTAAGTTTAGGCTTTTTTCCAGCAACAAGTTTTGTTTTTCCACATTTTAGGTGCATTCTGGAATCTTACTCACAACATTCAATAAATGCCAACAAAAATTTTTAGTGGCACTAGCTATAGACCAGAGACCACACTATTCTTAAACTTCAGTCCCAGGCTCTGAATTCTTATTTTAGGTGGTGAATCATGGCTGTTCTTCCCCGCATGGCTGAATCAACATATAAGGGCCCTTCAGCCCCTGCCAAGATGATACCTAATGTCCTGCCAGGCCCCGCCCTTCCTCCCCGCCGCCCCCCCCCGCCCCCCACACACACACAGTGGTGACCAGCTTCAGTGCCAGGTCGCCCACAACTCTGGGCAGCAGCTATGGCTTTTCTTCATTTTCTACTCTTTCTGGCAAGCCAGCTTTCTAGATCTACGTCCACATCAGCCAAAAATGCAAACACTTTACTCTTGGCTTCTTCAGTACTACTTCTTCCCTTCTTCCTAACAATACTCTGCCCTATGGCATCAGCTTTTTTCTCTTTGCTACTAGCTGTCTCTTGCTGCCCTCACAGCAGAAAATGCATTCCATGGCCATTCCAACAATGACAGCTACCCTGGCTCCCGAAGGCCCGTGGTCCTTCAGCCACTCTCCCTTAAACAATCTCTCAAAATACTAGTTCTGTTTCATCTTTCTCAGGTAGAAGGAACAAAAGTCTTTTTAGATCTCTTCGTTCAGCTGTAAGTCATTAAAGAGGAGACCAATGGGGGAACAATTTGTTTCCTTAGAAAAACCCTTTTGTGACTTCCTAAGTTGCTTTATTGTCTTACAATTCCACATTTTTAGGCCAAGGGGAGCTGGGGCTCTTCATGTGACTACTGATTTCCCTTTAAGGTGATTAACTTAAGGCCTTATTTCTGTCAGTTCAATGGTTAAATGCAAATTGGTTAAATAATCAGTTTAATAATAGGAATCCCCAAACATTCAATTTTCTGAACACGATACGGCTCTCTACTGTAGATCTAAGGTCTCCTTCCCCATGAAATGTAACACCCATGTAGGCTGACTGATCACCTGGAGGTTAACAAGTGAATGTTTGTTCAAGAGACTTTGTACACCCATAGGGTTACGAAGGTGACTCATGTTATCTCTCTTCTACTTAATGATATAAGAGAAGTGACACAGACCAGTGCAAATTGCTCCCTGTGGATATTTCAGTGTGTACCTTAAAAAGAAAGTGAAATGAAGAAAAGGAGGAGTTCATCTTAACTCAAGAAAAAGACTAATACAAAAGAATCTGACAAAACATTCAGATTTTTAAAGCTGTGTCTGCTCAGGCATTAAGAGCTAATGGAAATTTGCAGCAGATGCTCCAATTTTCCCTGAACATTTATGTAAGTATCTCATTTTAAAGGCTGCATACATTTGGGGATAAGTACAGTAATGGCAGCTATAAAACAGATATGACAACATAAAATACGTCAGGAAACACCTGAAAAACACCAGTTTGGGTCCACATGCAAAACCAATGCACAGGTTAATCTCATAAAAACGAGTCTCTGTTTAAAAAAAAAAAAAAAAAAGGTTAAACAGCTCATAATAAAGTATACACAGAGGGGAAGTAAGTTCAACTCTTCCAATTTTCACAAAAATTTTACTTAGACCACTAATGCAGAAATACATATATGTATGATATGTGTGTGTGAGACACACATACACATATATATGAGATTGCGTGTCAAGTGAAGTAAATCTGAACAAAAGAGATGAAATAAGGGGTACACATACAATGTCAGTGGCTCAATAGTGATGACAACATAAACTATGACAATCTGCATACTTTCCTTGGCCTCCAAGAGATCCATGTAAAACAATAACCTTGGTGATAGTGCAGTGGTAGGGTGGAGAGGATGAGAATAAAGTAAGAATGACTAATTCTGTAATTAAAGTTGAATGATGAGTACCTAGGAATTCACTGTTCTTTCTACTTATATAAATGTTTAACATTTTTCATAATAAAAAGGCTAAACAGCTCATAATAAAGTATACACAGAGGGCAAGTTACCTTATGGCCAACTCTTCAAATTTCTTGATTACTTAGAATCCCAGAAATTTTACTTAGACCACTAATGCAGAAATACAAATATGTGTGTGCATGTAACAAATTGTTACATGCAAGGCACAAGGCAAAGTATCAGGAAAAATTTTATATTTTTAATACTTGTAGTTTAAAACTGAGTTGAATGGATAAGGCAAACATTTGGAAGTTAAAAAGTAACGGCATTTAAACAATGCAATAGTATACAAGGTAAAATAAAAGGCAACAGTCAATGACTAAATCCTGAAAGAGACTGAAGAGCTCCTTTGGGCTAGCAAGGTAAACAAAGGCTTCATGGAGAGGTTAAAATGTCCACTGGTTCCCAAAGGATGGGTAGCATGCCAGACATCATCCATTTGCCCTCCAGGCTCACTGTATCCTCCTTTCCATTCTGCTCTGTGTCAGAGGGATTACATCACTAGGCTCCCCTGCCCTCTGCTTTCTGGTTGAGGTCAGCCAATGAAGAACCAAGACAGATCAGAGGGAGGAAGCAGAGTGAGATCAGAATATTCATTGTCCCGGTTCTCTATCTCTAAGTCACCTTGGATTGGCCATGTTCCTCAATAGAAGGCTATTTCTTTCCAGGTAGGCTGCTCTCCAAGACCCTTCTTCTGATTCTGACACCTCTCCCTCTCCTAATGTTGCTAGCTCCAGATAACTGCATTATGCTGTGGTTTGCTTATTGAAGTCCAACACCTTTATTACTAATATCTTTGTAAATACACCTTCCTTGAATTATCCTCATTTCAATGTGCCATGTGCTTCCTTGGAATACTGCTGATACAAGTTGACACAAGGGTAGCAGTGACCAGAAAAGCAGCCACGAAATAACTACATTTTTAGAAGTGAGAATAAGCATGCTATCTGGGGGTGAGTGAAAAGATCGATATAGCTGAATATGAAAGTTCACTAGGAGGGAAGACGACGACAGGCATTAGCAAAACAGGAGATTTCTTGTTTGGAATGTTTAGACATAACAACATTAAATATATTAAATTGTTACAAATAAATAAGTAATAAACAAAAGTTTTATCCCAAATCAGAAAAGTTCTATAACCCTTTCCACCAACTCTCTCAAATCTTTCCTTGACAACAGTATTCCACAGGCAAACGTTTCTAATTAATATCTTTCTCACAAAAAGTTAGGAGCCAAATTATTTCAGTTGTCTTCATTTCCTTATAATTTGCTATTTGGTGATTTGTGTATCTAATTAGTTCCTTATAGTTACAGTAGTATGGTTATCATGAGTAAAATCAAGGTGAACAATCTATCTGGGCCTGGAGAAAAGGCTATAATTTTCTGTGTATATATGAAGGACAGTACAATACAATACAAAAGAACCTTCTCTTTCTGAACAAGAATTTTTTTCCAAAATGAAAAAAAAAAACTTGTGCTATAGAAGTAATGGCCAATAAATTCCCCATTCTTCCAGATTATTGTAATTCTAAAATATGACACATTTATTTTGCTCCAGCCAAAAGAAGGCAGGGGACATAAGCTCAAGGGTCCCTCCCCTAAAGTGCCCTCAATTAGCTGTGTGACCTTAGGCAAGTCACTGTCTCTGTGAGTTTTAGATTGCTCAGATGTAAAACAAGAGGGTGAAGCTAGATGAACGTTCAGGTCCCTGAATTATAAACTGTCTATAAAGTTACCTGGAAACTGCTTACACATTATTTATAGATTTAACTCACTATATTGGCTATAATTTATCTGATTTAAAACCTTCTGAGCCCCAGGCAATTATTAATTACCACTAAGAAAAAAATGAGTATAAATATCACAAGTATATGGAGTTTCATAGTCTAGAGTTTCTTAGTTGGCACATAGCCTGAGAGAATATTCTAATCTGGCAGCTGCAATGAAGACATAAGGTCTAACTAACATTAACCAATATTCAGATTTACTATCATTTATTGAGCACCTATAATGTGCCAACCAGAGTGCTGGAGACTACAAAAATGACTGAGGAAATCCTCGCCCATGAGGTGCAAGTCTAGGGAGTAATGCCTCTGTAGATTTTGTGTAATACTCAAATTTTGTGTATTTTTTTTTGCAGATGAGGAACCTAAGACTCACAGACACAAAGTGGTAACTGGTTTAAGAACAGGAATCCAGGCCGATCTCATTCTAAAGCCATGCTTTCTCTAATACACCAATTTTCCTCTTAATTCTCAATGAGAATAAACATGTACAAAATATCAATACTCAAAAGAGTAACAGCTCCTTACAGCTAGGCTCTAACAAACATGTTAGTGGTATCTGATCCTCATAACTCTTTGGGACAGGCTAGGTGGGTGTTATACAAAACTTATACATAAGGAAACACTCACTGTGGTTTAAGTGACTTACCCAAGGTTACATGGCTGTTAAGTGGCAGAGCCAGTGTCTTTCAAATCAATTCCTGAAATTAACACAGTCCCTTGGATCAATCTTCAAAATCCAGCTGTGGCCAAGAACGAAAGTATATAGTATCAAAACATTTCTCTTTCTTGGTGAAACAAAGTAACGATTTTTTTTTTGGCAGTGAAAAATGTCTCAATATTCCATGTAAAAAGAAATTCAGAGGAATGTTCATGCAACCCCATTACGTAACGCAAATTTAAATAATTTATCTAACAAGCCGACTTGAGGGTTTTGCAGAAGTTAGGAAAAAATAGCTCTGGAAACCTCTCCCAATAATTGTGTATTTTGTTTTACTTCAGAATTTACGTGCTGGACTCTACACGATTGCTTTTACTGACACCATTTTCTAATGAGAATGGAACAATAAATTGCACATTGCTATTTTAATCTAAACTAAAAACACAATCTAACGAGTGATTCTGCAAATTTTCAAGCACAACAGGCAGAAAAACAGCGTAAAAAGATACGACACAGTAGTGTGACCTATATATCTTCTAATGCAGTTTCCTACTCTGGTCCTACATTTCTTTGCCACTATTATACTGGCTAGAATAAATCTAAAAGATAAAAAAATGCTTATTCGTTTCACCTACAATGCAACTACCTTATCGATTACGGTTAAGTAAAATAGCTCACTGCCAGCGCAGAAAAAACATCTTTAGGGCTCCCCTGAAGTTAATTTTCAACGAGTTAGTGAGGTAAAGAAATGAAGGGCCAGGTTTTCTTTTAATCAATAACGCAACCCATACTCTGAGTGAGAGCAGAGTACTGGAGGAAGTGCAAACTCAAAGAGGTGATAAATCCAGTAATTGCCTGAGAAGAGCGATGCAGACTGATAGCAAATTACAGCCCACTGCAGAAACTTAAAAAGACCGCCTTGGGGTTGGGAAAGTGGCCTCCACCTTATTAATCATCCCGGCCTTCTACACAAACCATTCATTCCGATGCCCCCAGGTCTTAAGAGGTGGGAACTTTCCCTGATGGTCTCCGTGATCGCTGGAGATATCATTCTATCTCCAGAGGACGGTAATAAATGCAGAAGACCAGGACTGCGTTTCCGTACTAGCTTTTTCTACAACACGCACTGGCTAAAGGACTGAGGTGATGGGTGGGGAATGAGGGGGCTTAGAAAATTAATCAAAAGATGCTGTGAGAACATCGCTGCTGGGTCCACCCCGGCTGGCCTAAACGATCTCACGTCCGCAGAAGGAAGCAACGCCCGCGGGCGGGCCTGCAGGCGGGCCGGGCTGGTGACAGTATGCGGGGAGCAGCGGGTTCCCCCCACCCCCAGCTGCAGGGCAAGCCCGGAGTCTCCGCAGGCCTTGCTGCACAGAAAACAGAACCGGGACACGGAACTTGGGGCTTGTGGCTAGCACCGGGAGGGGCTCGGCCGGCTGAGGAGGAAGCGAGCGCCGGCAGAGGCCTGAGGGGAGGATGCACATGGCCGGCGGCGGCGCTAACAGCGGGCGGAGGGGCGGCCCCGGGGCGCGGTACCTGCGGTCAGGCGGCGGCTGCTGCTTCCGCGAGCCTCGTTTGGCCAGGCAGGACCCGGCCGTGCCCTCGCCCTCGTCCTTGCCCACCTCTCTCCCGGCTCTTTTCCCTCTTTTCCCCCGCTTTCCCCCTCCTCATGCGGAGCTCCAAAATGGCGGCGCTGGGGATGGATCACGTGAGCCGCGGGTGGGTCAGGTGACCCGAATGGCGGGCAGCGGGGGCGGGGCGAGGCTCAGGCCCCGCCCACAGGCATCCCAGGCCGCTGAGGCTGGACCCGCGAGAGGGAGGCTCCCTAGCAGGCTTAGCACCTTGCAAATCCCGGCTCTCAGGCGGGGTTCGGGCCCAGTTGTCTGGCTCTCACGGCCCCTTCCACGTCTAGGTTTAGAAGTCACCTTGTATTCACTTTGGCATCTCCCCATGTCGCCTAAATCCGCTCTGGGCTAGCCTTATCACCCCACTCACCCCGCAATTGGTTTTCAACAATGAGCATTGTTTTTTTTTTTCCTTTAGACTTGTGCTTCTAGATTTGTATTAGTTCTTTTGGTAGGACTGTACATTTTGAGGTGTTCTTGGCTAAAATATAGAAGTCCTCGCCAGATTCGCAGCTTGGCTTTAAGGGGTGCCTGTTAAGGACAACAGCTGGGGGGAAAATCTCTTTGCTTGAGAGATTCAGGATTTTCAGGGTTTGTAGGGCCAGACTCAGTAACACAACCTCAGCCCTCCGAGGGCACGATGGTGTTTGTCATTCGGATCTGTTTTATGAAAGATACTAGGGTAGTTCCCCTGCTAACAGTGAAAAACGGACTGAGTGAAGCTTTCCAGCCAATTTCACCAAAAATGCTGGATAGTTTTGCCGTATTAGGAACTACGCAGCGTGGTGCTTGATTCTGGACTCCTGGTGAGCGGTGGACATGAGCAAGGAAGTAAAACTGAAGATTCTGGCCATTGTAATGGAATGGACTCGTTTGGTGAGATACCTCTTGGGGATCTATTCCAGATCTTTTAGAAGCCTTTACAGCTGGCTGGGCTGTCCACGGTCCTGGGAGGAAGAGCCAACAAAATTTAGAATCAGAAAGGCTGATAATTCCTGTTACTGTATTTCAGAATACAAATTCATCTGAATTTGGGGGTTAGGAAACCAGCAAAGTTAGAATTTTTATTTTTATTTTTTTGAAACAGAGTCTCACTCTCTCCCCAGGCTGGAGTGCAGTGGCACAATCTCGGCTCACTGCAGCCTTCGCCTCCCAGGTTCAAGTGATTGTCCTGCCTCAGCCTCCCCAGTAGCTGGCACTACAGGGCATGCCACCAGGCCCATCTAATTTTTTTGTTTCTTTTTTTTTTTTTTTTTTTTTTTTGAGACAGAGTCTCACTCTGTCACCCAGGCTGGAGTGCAGTGGTGTGATCTCGGCTCACCACAAGCTCTGCCTCCCGGGTTCACGCCATTCTCCTGCCTCAGCCTCCCGAGTAGCTGGGACTACAGGCGCCCGCCACCACGCCCGGCTAACTTTTTGTATTTTTAGTAGAGACGGGGTTTCACCGTGTTAGCCAGGATGGTCTCGATCTCCTGACCTCGTGATCCGCACGCCTCGGCCTCCCAAAGTGTTGGGATTACAGGTGTGAGCCACCGCCCCCGGCCATTTTTTTGTATTTTTAGTAGAGATGGGGTTTCGCCATATTGGCCAGGATGGTCTCCATCTCTTGACCTCACAATCCACCCGCCTCAGCCTCCCAAAGTACTGGGGTTATGGGCGTGAGCCACCGCACCCGGCCGCAAAGTTAGAATTCTGCTGTTCCATAGAATCCTTTGCCAATTAGACCAAAGCGCTATGAAGAAATAAAAATAAAATGTTCAGTAATTTTTTTTTTCAATAAAAGGTAAGAGATTGAGCAGGAGACTAGCATAGAAGGGTGGAAGGAAAAAACAGTCAAGGAAAACCAGAAATACGAAGTGTTGAAAGGGAGAACAAACAAGTAATATGAGCAATTCCTTCCCCTGGGCTATTGGCACAAACTATCTTAGCTTATCATTATCTGAAGAGAGCCTTTTCATTACTCATGTCTTAAGTGTAATGTCCATGAATCTGAAAGTAGACAGACGAAATGATAGAATTATTTGATCAAGGGAGAGTACAGAAACACAGTGTAATATAATCTAGGGAAATAAAGAACTTCTAAAACAAGCGAACGAAAGTGTATCTTTGTCTGAAGTTCCTGTGGTGGTCATTACTGGTATTCACCAGCTAGTTCCCATTGTCCCTCTTCTGGCATAAGGTTAGATAGAAATTCCTGGCCCTGTGGCTTGGTGGTGTGGCCAGTACTGGTGTTGGTGAATGGATGGTGTGTGGGAGTGAGGGCATTCCCTTCATGCTGGAGCATTTAATTGCCAGTGCAGTTCCCTCCAGTGTACATTTCCCTTTGGCTTGATGACTGGCAATGTTTCAGGTGGCAGCCACCCCGTCAGCCAGCATCTTAGAGGGAAAACGATGAGCTGAGTCCCCAGCTGACCCATGGTGGTGGATATGTAGGGTGAGCAAGTCTCTGATGATTTTGGAGCTGATTTTTTGTTGTTGTTTTTTGAGACGGAGTCTCACTCTGTGGCCCAGGCTGGAGTGCAGTGGTGCGATTCCATCTCACTGCAACCTCCCCGTGCTGGGTTCAAGCAATTCTCCTGCCTCAGCCTCCTGAGTAGCTGGGATTACAGGTGCATGCCACCACTCCCAGATAATTTTGTATTTTTAGTAGACGAGGTTTCACCATGTCAGCCAGGCTGATCCCGAACTCCCAACCTCAGATGATCCACCCACCTTGGCCTCCCAAAGTGCTGGAATTACAGGCGTGAGCCACCACACCTGGCCTTTTTTTTTTTCTTTTCTTCAATTTTAGATTTGGGAGGTCCATGTGCAGATTTGTTACATGGTATATTACGTGATACTGAGATATGGGCTTCCATTGATTCCCTCACCCGAATAGTGAACATGGTACCCTACAGGTAGTTTTTCAAACCTTTCCCCCGTCCATGCCTCTCCCGTTTTGGAGTCCCCAGTGTTCATTTTTCCCTTCTTTATGTCCATGTATACCCCATGTTTAGCTCCCACTTATAAGTGAAAACATGCAGTATTGGGCTTTCTGTTTCTCTATTAATTTGCTTAGGATAATGGCCTCCAGCTGTATCCATGTTGCTGCAAGGGACATGATTTTGTTCTTTTTTATGGCTGCATAGTATTCCTTGCTATTAATATGTACTGCTTTTTCTTTATCCAGTCTACCATTGATGGGCATTTCGGTTGATTCCATGTCTTTGCAATTGTGAATAGTGCTTCAGTAAATATAGGAGTGCAGGTGTCTTTTCGGTAAAATGCTTTATCTTCCTTTGGGTATACACCCAGTAGTGGGATTGTTGGGTGGAATGGTAATTCTAATGTTAGTTCTTTGAGAACTCTGTTTGTTACTGTAGCATGACACAGCCACTGATACCCACTTCCTACTCTGATGTACCTGCAACAGCCAGAGCCATTAGGAAGAAATCATTATAGGCAGAAAGGAATGATAATGAAAGAATTAGGGCCTTCATTCCTGAAGACTGAGAAAGTATACAATGCAGAATCTGATAGGAAAACCAAGACAACTTCAAAAAGCCTGGGACACAGAACCTCAGTATTTCTTTTTCCTAGAAAAGAATTCTCTGGAAAATTACAGTCACCATTTTTAAGTCAGAAGAATGCAAAGGCATTCAGATGTAGTTCCACTGAACTTGTGGACATCTCACCTAAACTCTTCTCAGCACCTCTCACCTGCCACAGAGTGTTATTTATCATGATTTAATTAAACAATCCTAGTAAGATTTAGTATTATAGATAGGAAACTTGCTTACTCAGTTATCTAGCGCCTATTCAGTGGAATCTGATTGTGTCTCCAGATGAGAGATGACTCGGTAACTGAATCCCTATCTCCACACACCTCATTATTTTACTTTGAGGCCATTAGTTAGTTGATGAGGCTAAAGGTTTCGCTTCTCCTACAAGTATCATGGGTCTCCGTATCTCCTAAAGTGACCATGGAATTTGATGACACATAGTGCTTTACAAGTTGAACTGGAGCACTGCTTACATTTTGGGAACACTGAAGGCAGTGCCTCGAGTAAGTTGCCAAGGTGATGACTGGTTGTAAACTGAATGAGACATTGAACCAGTTGAAACTGGAGGAAGACCTACTTGTTTCCAGCCACAATACTTATGAAGGACACCTTGTCTTTGGTGTGATAAGATTAGATTTCTTTTGAAGGGATTAATCATGTAAGTCTTTGGCACAGCACAGAAAATTGGACGAGACGTGTGGCCCGTATTTCTTTAAGCTGTAATTTTTATCATGACCTTTAAAAAATACACTGCCTCAAAAAAGGAGAGATGGTACAAGGGTGAGAGGAGGCAAAAGAGCTAAAAGGGAAAAAAGGATGTGGTAGTGTGAGCTGAGAAAAATAAACCCAAAAATTGTCCCTGACTTTGCTACTTAGCTCTTGTGGGACTGTGAGCAAGTGGGCTCCGTCTTTCCGATGTTTTCACCTTGCTTGTAAAACAAGAAGTTCAATTTATCCTTTTTTTGAGCTTCAGGTGACTGGTATATAGAAGCACAGAGTTTAATGATAGGAGTCCTCTGGGTTCAAGATGGAACCCCATCATTAAGAGTAATGGCAAGACTTGATTTTATTAATGAATGAAAAGATTACTTGATGTAAGTCAGAAGGAATGTAAGATGAAAAGATGTGATATATTATTATATATACAGCTGTCAGTAATAAATTAACATTAGCTCTGGATTCCTTACACTTTGCATCCTGAATATACACCTAGAAATACTTCATAATTATAGTTCAGGTCTCAAGGACCATCATAAATTATCCATCTGTCATTCATTCTCTGCTAAAAGCCACAGACCTACGTTTTTTCAACAGCACATCGACATCTAAAATCCCTGGTGCTATGAGGCATACATATTAATTGATTTCTTATTGAGGGCCCAAGTAAACCAGAAGGATACATAATGATCAACCATGACGACGAAGAGGAGGAGAAAGGGCAGGGGACGTGATTGTGAAAGTTGGCTCTGGCTAACACTGGACTTTGCTTAATTTGCAGCTCTGCTGTTTTGGGGCTGAGATGCTAACTTATTTAGAAAAGGCC